TTTTTTGGTCTGTTTTTCGTGACGGGAGATATACAACCAGTTAAGCGGCCCAACATCGAACATCGCAAGCTTGTGTGTGTTTTAATGCCTCGTGCTGACAGATACATGTCGCAGGGAGAGATGTCGCAGGGTAGGTCTGTGTCCAAGGCGCCCAAGGTCACGGTGTGGAACATACAAAGCCTCTGTGAACATTGTGCATTCGCTGTCAGTGGAAGCTGCGTGAGAGTCTCGGAACGCCGCGTTCCGGACGGATGATATCGGGAAACATCGGTCTAGGGAATATCACGTATCGCTTCGGGATCATGCTTCGTCCAAGCTTCCTCGCGTTCTCCGCCGTTGATTTCACCGATCAAACGCGAATCTGTCACTGGACGATGATGCGTTAATCGTTTCGAAATTCCTCGAAACGATGGACGCTCGCCGCCGTTTAAATTATTCGACACGAGCTGACTATAGATACGGGTGTACGAATCACCCGAAAACGTTGACTCTGCTGGCGGACACACGAGGACTCGAGGATGCTTGCAGCACCGGGGGTAAGTTAGGCAGAACATGAAATATAAGGTATAGGCGTTGGTTAGAGTCGGCTACGGAACGAGTTACGAGTTCAACAGTCTCTCTAACGACGAACTCGAGTCGAACGAGTCGGCTGTTCGATAAAAGAGAGGAGTCGTCACTCGTTCCGTAGACAGAGACAAGGATATTATACATAAAGTGGCAAGGTGAAACACGTATGTAAACTCCGTTCGTAAACGGAGAAGACAGAAGAAGAAGACAGAAGAAGAAGAAGAAGAAGAAAGGCATGATGGGATAGAAACTCACCGTCTCGTCGTTTTAACGCGACGATAACGGCGATAGTCGGTGGCGTTTACGTCGTTGGGGTCGAAGCCCCTTCGATGCTTGGGCGGCGAGGACATGGTGGCAGCAGCCTTGGTACCGTTCGAGATCGCGTCTGGCTTGGCGGTGGTGGTGTTGGTGGTGTTGGTGGTGTTGTTGTTGTTGCCTATGGAACTGTTGCCGATGCAGTTGTTGTCGACGGCGATGTGCAGCGAGGCGAGAGGCGGCGGCGAGGGCGGCAGCTGGGCGGGGACCAGGTGATGGCCGGAAGTCGTCGAGTTCGAGGTCGACGTGGCGATGGAAGTCGGAGGGTGACACCGACAGGCCGGTGCCGGTGCTGTTGGCTCGCCGATTACGAGGGTCCGATCCCCGTGACCGACGTCGCTCTTTGGCACCGCGTTCAGCTCGTGCCTGCTAACCCTACCGGCTCCCGGCCCACCCATTCAAATCCTCGATTATCGCCCCTCGTGCACTCCGCCTCTCTCGCTCTGCCTCCGTGGCTGCTGCTCCTGCCGCGAGCTTGCCTCCTCTCGCACGCACGGCCACGCGTTTCTCCCTCCGGCGCTCTCTCTCTCTCTCTCTCTTTTCTGTCTCTTTCTTCTTACGTTCGTTCACGCTTCTCCGGCTGGGCTCGTCCTCCTTTCTCTCCAACGTTTTCCTGCTTCCTTGCAACCTCGTCCAGACGGCACGCTCCGAATCGTCGCCCGATGTCGTCCTGCGGACGCGGCACATTCGATGAGGAGGAACGGGCCGTAACCCGGTCCTCTCTCAGCTCCTCTCGACCTGCATACGCACGCGACCGATCCCTCCGAAAGGCTAGCCTCCCATCCAACGACACACACCTCCGACACGCCATTCACCGCGGGCTCACGCACGTGCAACCAATCCCATTCGCACCAACTGGTATTTACAACAACAACAACAACAACCGACAACCGCGTTCGCGCCGACAAAGCGTCCGAGTAACGTACGTAAGGGCGGCGAAAGGTTAGAAACGAGACGGCGAAGAAAGACGGCGAAGAAAGACGGCGAGAAAGTGGGAGAAACGGCAGGCGGGAAGAGGCAAAGAGCGAGGCCGCGGAGTAGACAACGTGTCTACGACAGCGTCCACGGCAACGTCCCAAACACCCGACGTTCCTTCGGTTCCGCGATCACGCCGACTCACTCACTTGGCGCACCACACTCTCTCTCTCACCCCAAACTCTCTCGCCGCGAGAGTACGGACTCGTGCGCGACTCCGATGGATACCAACTGGCGGCAGCACCGGCGCGCGCGACGCCAGAACCACCATTCGACGAGAAATTGGGCGACGACGAATCACGGGAGGAAGGAAGGAAGGAAGGAAGGAAGGTCGCGCGAGCGAGGCAAGGCCACCAAACGTTTCTGCCGTTTCCGATACCGATCGGATCGCGCGAACCGATAAGCGACAACCGGGCTGCAACGACACTTTGCCGCCGCCCCTATCGATCGCCCCGTCCGATCCAGCGATCCTTTCCACACGACGCGAACGCGACCTACTCTCTCTCACTCTCTCTCCTCCCCCACCCCCTCTCTTACTCGAACCAATGACGTGCCACGAGGCTTAGCTTCCGTTAACGCCAACTGAATTTTAACCGCTTGCGCTGGAACGACGAATTTTTTTTGTCCCAGAATTGCAATATTCTCTCAGCATAACAAATAAGGTAAAAACAAATCGTAAGTTTATTACTTCTCGATAATTTCTATCTAGATAGATACGACGAGATCAAAAGAGAGCGACGAATTATCGTACACGGTTCGGTCACTCGTTATGGTCCGCATTCAGTTGCCAGCGCGAGGAGTTAACTGAATCTGAACCTAACCTAAACTTAACGTTTTGGGCTGGAATGACGTGCCACGCACGTCGAGAATATTTGTCCCAAAATTGCAAATATTTTCTCAGTTTTAAGTACATTCAAGTATAACCCAGGCGAGTAATAAACAAATAATAAATGTATTACTTGTCAATGATTTCTATTTAGGTATCGTACCGACGAGTTCGAAAAGAAAGCGACGAATTATCGTACGCGGCTCGGTCAACTGAATCTGAACCTAACCTAAACTTAACCTCTTGCGCTGGAATGACGTGCCACGCACGTCGAGAATATTTGTCCCAAAATTGCAAATATTTTCTCAGTTGTAAGTACATTCAAGTATAACCCAGGCAAATAATAAACAAATAATAAATTTATTACTTCTCAATAACTTCTATCATACCGACGAGTTGAAAAAGAAAGCATTAGACAAATTATCGTACACGGTTCGGTCACTCGTTATGGTCCGCAATCAGTAGTTAACCTCTAGCGCTGGAGTGACGTGCCACGCGCGAATTTTTTTTATCCCAAAATTGCAAATATTTGTTCAGTTTCAAGTATAATGCAAATATAACCCAGGCAAATGAAACAAATAATAAATTTATTACTTCCCGATAATTTCTGTCTAAATATCAACCGACGTGTTCAAAAAGAACACGACGAATTATCGTACACGGTTCGGTCTCTCGGTTATGGTCCGCAATCAGCGCAAGTGGTTAACGAGAACTTTTCGAGGAATGTCATGAATCCGTGCCAATCTTTCCCCTTCCCTGCCCGCTTAGATTAGTCGTAGAGATTAGACGACCTTTGATTCCTAATGAAAAAGTAGAGCCTTGAAGCCAAGGATTTCGCGACCGTTGGGAATATTTGGCACCCTCTCCAAATTGCATTCTCTTCAATCTAATCTCACGCAGTGCCACGCGATTAACCATCCACGCCCTCCTCCGAACGCCGGACCAAAATAGACACGCTTCCGGGAAACGCCGCGCGGCGGCAGCACGGGAAACGACGCGACACGAGACCGCCGAGAGAAAACAACGCGCGTGCCACGTCCGATTGCCCTCGAATGAGGATAGATGAGTGGCCGAGTCTCAAACGACGGGAGGATTGTTTCGCATCGTTCGACGATCAACGCTAGTTTTCTCAAGCCAGTTTTTCCTACCACGTGCTTACACGAGGCCTACACCGTGTTGATCGAGCTGGCGATCGTCCAACTAACCGACTCAGCGTAGCCGCCAGACCAATCTCCCCGAAACGTCCCCGGTGACGACGAATCGTCGTTGGACTCGCGTACGCGAGACACTTTCTCGCCTCGACATTTTCTCACGCGTAAATTTCCCTCGGGCACTTGCCTTTACTACGGTAAAGTGAAGTAAATCGAGTTCAGTCACACGATAGAGAAAAAAAGAGAGAGAGAGAAACGCACGGTCGTCGATCGTCAATCACTCCCTTCCCCCTTCCTGCCCGCCAAATACTCGTTTCTCCCGTGGGTGAACCAACCCTCCGAAAGATGGCGGCGGCGTCGAGCGCGCCACGAGCGCCCACCCGGTCAATACCAGTAAACGATGAAACGGTCCAGCTTCGGCGGCACGCTAACCTCGATTCGGTTTCCAACGACCGCTGCTGTTAGCGCTCTTGATCGAGGGAACCGGCCCGGTGGCCTTGAACGCGCGAAACTTTCCGAGGCGGCCACTCTCGCCCGAAATTCGAGAGATCGATCAGTTACGCGGCAGTTTAAGTTTTGTAACTTTCCTCGATTTCAAATCCGTTGAATTATTTTTGAACGTCGAACGAGGGAAAGGGACGTTCGAATCTCGCGCGCGGCACGGGTCAGCGGTTCTCAACGAACGGACGAGCTGTGATCCGATCACCAATTAATCTCGCGCGTGCACTGAGAAAGGGAGCGTTTGAGGGGAAAAGAAAAAAGAAAAAAATAGAAAGAGGAAAATCGAGCGGGGCGTTAACGCCGCGTTTAATTGCACGGCGGCGAAACGCGAAGTGCGGATATCGATCCGCGATCGCGTTCCGCACTTCTCTGCTACTTTCCTGCAACCTACTTCGCGTAACCGACTACGCACTCGCGACATTTCCAAACGAAACTTCCGGAATCGTTCCGACGTCGTTCGTTCGCGATTTACGAAACTTGCCAGCACTGAATCTGAACGATTAAACTCGAGGCCTGTCGAACGATTCAACGAAGATGGATCGATAGCACTAGAACCTACCAAAAGGCTAAAGCGTAGAGTTTTTATCGGAGATGTTCAAGTGAAAAGTACAGAGAGAAACTATGAAATTTAATTTTATAGAATACGCGAGCTTTTATTTGTACATTTTATGAAAAATCACTTGAATCTCTAAAGTTATAAAATAAACCTTTGTAAATGAAACTACACTGTTTTATATCTACAATGTGTCCATAACAAAAGTTGTGAATTAATTTACATCTACAATGTGTCTATAATAATTAGTTGCGAATGAATTTCGACCGCTTCGATGGTTCTAGTGTTAACGATGTCGCGGAAATCGATGTTTCAAATATCTGTGAAAATTTATTTGTGCATTTTATGAAAAATCATTTGAATCATTAAAATCTCTGTAAATGAAACTACACTGTTTCACAGCTACAATTTGTCTATAACAAAAATTGTGAATTAATTACTTCGACCGCTTCGGTGGTTCTAGTGTTAACGATGCCGAGGAAAATCGATGTTACAAACATCCGTGAAAATTCGAGAATTTGTGCATTTTATGAAAAATCATTTGAATCATTAAAATCTTTGTAAATGAAACTACACTGTTTTATATCTACAATGTGTCTATAACAAAAGTTGTGAATTAATTACTTCGACCGCTTCGGTGGTTTTAGTGTTAACGATGTCGCGGAAAATCGATGTTTCAAACATCCGTGAAAATTCGAGAATTTGTGCAATTTAATGAAAAATCATTTGAATTATTAAAATCTTTGTAAATGAAACTACACTGTTTTACATCTACAATGTGTCTATAACAAAAGTTGTGAATTAATTACTTCGACCGCTTCGGTGGTTCTAGTGTTTCGAAAACTTTGTCGCGGAAAATCGATGTTTCGAATTTTCGACACGAAAATTCGAAAACACCAGAGTCGAGATCCCTCTATACTCTGACGAAGATTCATAGAACCTTGCACGAAGAATCGATCTCAACCGAAACGAAAGTGTCAAAGTTGCATGCAATCTCACACTCTCTCCGAAACCGATGTCCTCCGTTGCAAACGATCGTCACACATTCTCGAGACGAGAGCGAAAACGAAAGAAACAAAGTTACGATCCAATCTAACACCCTCTCCGAGTAGCAAAGATCCTTTGGATCGTCTACCCACCCGTCGTTCCGCGAAGATAGAAGAAATCGGCGTCGAAGACGACAACTCGCTAGCGAAGACCAGGCCGAGAGACTTGCCAAGAGATCGGAAACGAGCCGGTAGATCGGTAGTCGCGTGGCGTATCTTCGAGAGGAGGCTGTCGACGAGATGTTCGACCAATGAGTGACGCGAATGGTAGCACGGCGTCGGTATGACTGACTCTCTCTCCTCGTGACCTGGCGTACACGACCTGGCTTGTGCCGTGGCAAGCAAGCAAGCAAGCAAGCAAGCGAGCGAGCAAGCAGTAGGCGTATCCCGTGGTTGGTCAGCCGGTCGGTCGACTCGTTTACTAGCGATGGACTTGATCCGATTCCCGACTTTTCCCCGTCGCGATCGATTCAGTCGCCAGTCGACTCGAACCGAGCCACATCCCCATTTCCTCCAATGCGTTACACTTTCCGCATTCGTTTCACGTATTCATCCCTCGACCTTTCTTTCGCTCGATTTCACGATCGTTGGGATTTTTCCGCGGTAAGGCCGATTCATCGTCGGATCATCGTCGGATTTATATTAAGTAAAAGTGTCCTCCCTTCTGCAACAGTTACTCGTATATTTCTTCCTTTCTTACTTACTGTTATTACTATAATACAGGGTGGAACACTGGAAAACCGAAGAGTTTGAAAAAATTGTAAAAAAGTTGTTCATTTTCAATTTCATTTTATTTGTTGTTTTTTTCTTTTGTAGTAAAATTATATTTCCAAGTAAAATAATAAAAAATTTAAGAAACGTGTGTTCGCGTGTTCAGTGTTTCAGTGACCACCCTGTAGTATAATAATAATCGCTCTCGTTCCAGTTCCCCTTTCGCCCTTGTGATTTTACAAACTTACAATCATCACGTAGTTGTTCGCGTTTGCACTCTGTTGCGCACGTTTTGAAAATAATGAATTACTTTGCAGAGCAAAAAAAAAAAAAAAAAAAAAAAAAGAAATAATCAAGATTCCAATTTATCCGGAATTTGTGCGTCAACATACAGTTTTCACAAACAAATATTCAATACGTAAAACATATTACCATTTACTCGAAGAAACTATCGAAAAATTATCTAAATAAAGAAACACGCTTTTTCTAATATATAATATTCTAATACATTTAAATAAATGATTCTCTCGCAAAACGATATCCATTAAATTCGTCGTTTCTTTAATCTATACGAGCTCCAACTTTGAGGTTAGCTTTTCATCCATTCAACATGGACAATAAAAAAAAAAAAAAAAAGAAAGACACGTGTCAAATATTTTTACGTCCCCTCGTTGGAATTTCGTTTCCCCCTTTTTTTTCCTTTTTTCTATTTTTATCCCATTCTACTTCAACTACTTTCCCTCGCGTTATTACACATTTCACGCACGAATGCTAGATACGGAGGCGCCGGAAAATCCGGCCGTAGCATAATTTCGGATGAAATTTTACGCAATTAAATGAATGATTGTGACGTAAAGCGAATAAAATTGAATTGATCTGGGGGCGCCACCATCGACCCCTTGGCGCTGGCAACTGATTGCGGACCATAACGAGTGACCAACAACCGTATATACAATAATTCGTCGCTTTCTTTTTGAACTCGTCGGTATAACATCACTGGATAGAAATTATTGATTACTAATAAATTTATTATTTTTTTTCTTTGTCGGGATTATACTTAAATACACTTGAAACTGACAAAATATTGCAATTTTGGAAACAAAAAATTCTCGACGTGCGTGACACGTCGTTCCAGCGCAAGACAGTTAACCACTGACAGTGATTGCGGACCATAACGAGTGACCGAACCGTGTCCAATAATTCGTCGCTTTCCATCTCTTTTGAGCTCGTCGAAATGATACCGCTGGATAGAAATTATTGAGAAGTAATCAACTCGTCGTTTGGATTACATTTAAATACACTTAGGACTAAGAAAATATTGCAATTTGGGACAAAAGGTTCTCGACGTGCGTGGCACGAAAAATCCAGCGCTAGAGGTTAAGTCGGACTAAAATTCCCTCTGCCTTGATTGCATCGACGATAGGTCACTCCCTGGGGAGTGTGCCTCGCTATCTCTTGCTCGAGATCGGTACGATCAAGAACCGTTCGTCTTTTCATCGCCGTCGCTCCTCATTCAGAATTCGTTCTCGTCGACGTCGCGTGCTGCCCCTCGTGTTCGGGAAATTGGGTCGGTTGTTCCAAACAGGGACAACATCGATTCCCAAGGAAGGTCGCCAAAGGAACTCGTTTCGAAAAAAATTTCCATCGAAATTCGGCGACGCTTGACAATCGAGCCGATTCATCCGAAATTCACCGTGTTTCAGTATCATGCAGCGCGATCGCGCTGTTCGGATTTCATCTGTCGAATAATAATGTCGCAGCGTCGTTATAGCGCCATGTGCGAAGCTTCCTCTTCTAATCACTTTCTTTTCAGTTGAACTTGAACCACGTGCACAAATAAGCAGATCCTATTTTAAGATCTATTTCAAGATCATTACTTTTATCCATTTTTATTTATGACCATTTTTAATTATGACTCAAGATCTAATAATAAGATCTAAACTAATAAGGACCTACTAATGTCTCAAGATCTAAACTAATGATTTCAAGATCATTACTTTTATCCATTTTTATTTATGACCATTTTTATTATGATCTAAAGGGTGGCCACTGAAAAACTTAAAGGTTTGAAAAAGTCGTAACTTGTTCATTTACTGTTTACATTCATATTTATATTTATTGTTTTTCACGCATAATATTGAAAAAAATCCATTAATTACGTTTCCAAATAAAATAATAACAAATTAAAAAGAAACATGTGTTTGTAAAAGTTATTTTTGTTTTGTGTCATTCGGTCTTTCAGCGACCATCCTGTAGTTAGATCAAGGAAGCGCTATCGCGTCGTTATGGCTGTGTTGCAACACGGTTTTTCAACGCTAGATACTACCAAACTGATAAAAACGATTTGACCAAATTTATAGTTTTTGTTAGGTATTTTACAGACGTAAAACGTGTGTATTTTCAAAGATTTAAATAATTTTTCGTAAAATGTATGAATAACAGCTAAAAGTTTCTCTATTTTCTTGTCCTCAATGTCTCCGATAGAAACTTTACGCTTTCGTCGGTAGTTCCAGAAAAATACATTTATGTACACGTACAAGGTGTAGATTCATCAATAATAATTCGTCTGCCGCTGCACGGGGTAGTTTTATATATATATAAACACATATTCATATAGTATGTAAATAATACTTAAACAAAAATAACGTAAAATTAACACGAGATACTTATTTAACTTACTTAAAAGTATTTATACACGCTTTATACAGAATGTAGATTCATCTATAATAATTCGCCTGTCGCTGCACACACATATTCACATAATAATTATGACACATATTCACATAATAATTATGACAATCAGTTGCAACAGAGTGATTAACAACATCCACCGAATGTTCATTGATTTCAAGAAGAAATCAAACGATTCCTTGCGCTGAGTTTAATTAAACAAAAGATGGTTTAAAGATCAATTAAACAAAGATACCTCTTCAATGGAATTCGTCATTGGTAAGTATGATAGAAATAAATTGTAAAAATAATGTTTCACCCAACACCTGCTTAATGAACGCAGAAAATACCGAAACCTAAGAAGTAAATACGGATTAAACCAAAACACCGCTCTAACCTGCCAGAAACAACAAAAAGAACAGAGACCCAACTACTAGACCAGTCGTAAACAGATAAAAAAATTCCAGCGCGTCGCTAAAGACTCCAAACCTCCAAATAAAAAAAAAAAAAAAAAAAAAAAAA